GCCCGGCGACGAGACGTCGCTGGTGCCATCGCCCGACACCCGGGTTGTCCCCGCGGGGCGCAGGTTGCCCCTCGCCTCCATCTCAGGGGGGTCGGGCGAATCGGGGGGGGGCGGTCCGGCCAAAGGTCCTTCATCTTCTTCGTCCTCTTCTTCCTCCTCGGAGAAGTGGATGGAGGAACGGGTCTGGACAGGCACCTGGCTGGGGGAGAACTTTCGGAGATGGGGCAATGTGTCCACATCGTGGGGAGGGGTCAACACCCGTGTCAGGGTGGGCAACCTCAACTCGGCCGGCCGAGCCCGCCGGGGGCTCCGGGGGGGTTTACGGGCCGGCGGGACCCCCGCCTTCCGAGACGGCGAAGGGGAAGCGGGCGCTTTGGGTGGTGGCGGTGGCGGGGGGGTGGCGGCGGCCGCTGTCCCTCGCCCCCCCTTGGGGACAGGGATGACCCAAGCTTGGCCAGCGGGAGGACGTTGGTCCTGCAGGAGCCGTTGCTGTTGTTGACTCAAGCGTTGCATGTCCAACTGGAGGGTGCTCAACGCCGTGCTCAGCTTGGCCACCGCCGCCTCGTAATGCCCGGGGGGTTCCGGGGGCGCGAAGGTGACTTGTTTCTTGCTGCCGGAACCTTCTTCTTCCTCTTCGTCCTCCTCTTCCTCGCCCCCGCGCTTCAGCTGGAGGAAGGCGCTCTTGCCCAAGCGCTGGCGGTGCTTGGCGAAGATGGCTTCGATCCTCTTCTTCTGCGCCTCGATGGCGCGGCGTTTCTCCTCCAAGCGAGCACCCAGCTGGCTCATTTCGGCGCTCAAACCTTCACCGGCTTCAGGGTGACCCCCCGGGGGGCCCCCCAAAATCTGGGGGGATCCGCCAGCGACGGTACCCCCGCCTCCCCCCCCGACGCCGGCGGCTTCTTCCAGCTTCTTCTTCCGTTCAGCAAAGCTGGTCATGGTACGGCCCGAGGGGGCCGGAGGGTCGGCGGTGGAAACGGGGGGCTGGCGGAGGTTGGGGGGTCCAGGGGGGTCCCCAATATCTACGGGGGGGTCCGGCGAGTGGAGATAGAAAGCGTCGGGGGCTCCTTCAGGGAGAAGCCGTTCGGAACTGTGGATGATCTGGAGAGCTTCCTCGATGGTGGGCAGCTCCGGGCCGGGGGTCTCGGGGAGACCGTTAGGTAGAGAGGCGGGTGCCGGCGGCGGAGGGGA